ACGGCCTCTTCGCCAGAGGCGAAGCTGGTGGCGATGTCGAGGAGTGCGGACGCCGTGGTCGGTATGCTCCGGCCTAACTCTTGGACCAGGTCTCGACAGGTGGTGCCGACGCTGGGCAACTCGGTGCATTGCTTGGAGAAACGTCGGATGAAGTCTCGGAGAGACTCGTCCGGCCCCTGGCGGCAACTCTTGAGGTCCCAGGAGTTCCCAGGGCGTGCGTAGGTGCCCTGAAATTTCCCGACAAAGACCTTTACCAAGTCGCGCCAGTCGTGGATTTGCATAGGGGGGAGGTGTTCGAGCCAGGCTTACGCTGAGTCTGACAGAAATAGGGGGAGGTTGCGGATGATGAGCAGGTCATCGTCCGCACCACCTAGCTGACAAGCCAGACGGTAATCGGCCAACCATAGCTCGGGGTTGGTCTCGCCGCTGTACTTTGAGAGATTCGCTGGCTGATGAAACCGGGCCGGGAAGCGGGCGCTGCAGACGGCCTTACTGAAAACTCTAGGGCCAGGCGGCCCGGGAGAAGGAATGCGGTCCTCCCCACTGTCATAGCGACCGCCTCGGTGCAATTGGTAGCCCCGGGCGGCCCCATCGTGGTCGTGGCGCCGTTGTCTGCTGCCCATGTGGTGGCCGTTCTGCGCACCTCGCGTTGGTCGTCGAGGCGGTCGTGCACCGAGGGGGCCCTGAGGCGGTCGTGCACCGAGGGGGCCCTGAGGCGGTCGTGCACCGAGGGCTGTTTCGAGGCGTCCCCGCGTCGTCGAGACGCGGAGCTTTCAGCCTGCTGCACCGCGGCAGTCTCGAGAAGGCCTCGGAGTTCGCCGTGGACCCGTCGCCCCTCCGTGGTAGAGGGCTCGGGCATCGCTCGGACCAGTATCACCGCCGCAGCGACGTTCTGGCTAGCGTGATTGAAGACAGGGGGTTGCTCGCCCCCCTCATCATCGTTAATGCGGCGGTTGACGTCGCGAGCCCCCAGCCGGGCCGTTCCACCATCGCGCGCTTCGCTGTTTTGCTCGAGGGTGGCTCGAGCTACCGCAGGAGGAGTCGATCTTGCTCGACCTTGGTTTGAAGCTCATGGAGCTGCTCTAGGTCTATGCGTCGAAGTTGCTCGGGGGTGGGGACACCTGCCGCCGCTGGCGGGGATCCCGTGCGTGGTGGTGTGGCGTTGGCTGCCCTTCCTCCATCGTTGCCCATGCTCGGCATTCTGAGTCCGATGTGGAAACACTCATGAGTCGGGCCGCAAACGTCCTCGCCGTCGGAATCGGAGTAGCCGAAGCAGTAGTCGCTCGCGATCATGAAGCGACGCATCGCCTCAGGGTCATGAATCCCGGAGAAGTCTGCTCCAACCCACGCCTCGTCCTCCTCCGAGGAGTCAGAGTAGGGGTGGATTGGAGTTGTGACTATGGGGTTATGGGCATGACGTTGATGAATGGAGACGAGGGCGGTGGCGTAGGAGGCGGCGACATTGGTCAGCCCGAAAGGGTACGGGGATGGCGTCGTCGCCAGGCTCAGCTCCACCAGAGCTAGCTCCTCGAGAGGAGGTGGGACAGAGCTTGATGATGGGGCGTCGTTGTGCACCACCGGCCCTTTTTCCCTATCGAGGCTTAAGCCAGACAGGTCCCCGCGCAGGGACTCTATGCCAGCAGCGGGGTATGGGATTCCGGTGGAGCACAAATCGGCGTTCTGTACTTGCGCGGTGTTAGGGGGGACTCGCCCGCGCGGCGCTTGGCGAGCTTGACGGGAGCGGCGGCCCGGGCGCCGTCTGCACGTGGGCTGGTGGTGCATGACATCGTCGTCGGTTGATGGCGCTCTGGGTGAGAGGAGTACCATGTCGTACTCGTGCCCTAGAGACATGAATTCTAGGCTCCCGAACCAGATGATCGTCCCGAGACGCAACGATCGCACGGGATCTGCCATCCGAAATATGGTGGGATGACTAAGCTGACAAGCAGAGGCCCCTACCTAGCGCGCCAACTGTCGGTGTTTCGGGACCGGGGGTCCTTAACCGACTAGTGAATTTGTGCTGCGTGCTCCCAATTCTGGATGGTGATGCAAAGAGACACAAGGTTTATACTGGTTCGGGCAATAGATGCCCTACGTCCAATCTGAGAAGATGTTCTTGTATTCCTTGCACCGGGGTGCTCGTAGTAGGGGGTTACAAGCTAGGCGAGAGAGGGAGTTCGTCCCAAGTCTCTGTGAGGGGAGGTGATATGAATTACAGAATGCGGCATGTTGTTCGTGCGAGTGTTCGTGACTCTATCTGCCGTCCCTAGAAACGGTCCTGGCCACCTCCTTTTATAGCCGCAGGGAGGAAACCAGGAGTACATAAGAGAGCTACACGTGGAGCGGACTATTCGATGACGTATTTACTCCTGGAGCAGCATGGCGTTGTCGTGGGAGTTCCCGTAGATGTCTAATCGGTATGGTCTCCACTGCAAGTAACATGCTGTGCATTTGTTGACTTGGTGGATTGCAGAGGCTCGGCGGCCATCGTAGCCAGCCGTGCCGAGGCCTGTTGTGCCGAGGCCTGCCGTGCCGAGGCCTGAGAAGTGACCCAGGTGCAGATGCGGGTCTCAGCGGCCGTCAGGCGGAATAGTGCGAGACGTGCGCCTACAGGATACGGTACCTGTATTGTCAGTAAGGGATGGTAAAAAAGGTGATCTGACCGTTGTCCCGTCGCTCCTGTTGCAGGGCACTGCCGATCGTGGCTTACGTAGCGGTTGCGGCTGAGCGCATTAATCGGATGTGACAGCCTGCCAGAGAGAATTTTGAGGCGGAGGCGACGAGGTTGTGGGACGAGCCCGGCCTCGGGCGAGGTAGAGCGCGGCCAATTCGTCCGAGGCCCTTCCGAGGGGATCTTGGGCGAGGCGGACAGGCGAGGTGGAGTAAGATCAGTGAATCCGAGGCCCTGTCGAGGGGGCTCGGGCGAGCCGAAGCGGTCGGTCTGCTGATTCCGAGGCTACAGGAACACGTTCTGACTCCCCACATTGTGATGTCCTTGGTGCAGGAGTTAGGCAGCACAGTGGTCGGTAACCCCTGCTCTGTGCCGTCGCAGATGGCAGGAGGTTGACGCGACTGGCGTGTAGTCGGTCACTTCGCTGTACTGTGCCATCGTGCGTCTGTCGGAGTGGTTGGGCGCTTGGATGCGACGTTCGGTCAGAGCAGTTTGGTCGAAGAGGCGGTCACGGGGCTAGTGCCGAGCCGGCCTCGCGTGAATCGGAGAATCGGCACTTCTTCCGAGGCCCCGGGCGAGGGGGCCTCGACGAGGGGGCCTCGGCGAGGCGGTCTCGGGCGAGTCGGAGAATCGTTCGCTTCTGCTGGGGCTCGACGATGGGGTCTCGGGCGAATCGGAGATTTCGGCCGAGACCTCGTTTGTTTATTCTGTTGGTTCTGTTCTTAGGGTCTAAGCAGTTTTTCGATCTTTGCTTGGGGTACCCCATTTTCTGGTATCCGACACCACACGAATCACGACGTTGCTCCTCTCACCGTTTAGCCCTGAAGCATCTAGAGAAAGTCCTGCACCCGTATGATACTCCGTAATAATAGCGAGGGCTAATCTAGATAAAATCCTTTGTCCTGTTCGCTTGGCTGATAAGCCATGATTGAAAGTACCATTGACTGATTTATTATGAGAGAAAAATACTATTCATTGACTGAAAAGTACAACTTATAACTCAAGCGAACAGGCACTTGCGCCTTTCTCTGAGCGGTGTCGCACAACCCTTATTTAGTTCGCGAAAAGTTTTCCCAAAAAGTGCTACAGTATCTATCATATCGAATCGTGCGATACGTGCATGGAGCATTAAATATAGATGAAAAAAACTAATTGCACAGTTTGGTTGGAAATTGCGAGACGAATGTTTTGAGCCTAATTAGTCCATGATTAAACACTAATTGTCAAATAAAAACGAAAGTGCTACCTGCCAAGTGAGCAGTCTCTTTGATAACACTCACAGAGGAAAAAGCGAACCCGTCTTCCTCCTTCCCGAGAGCTCCGAGCCACCGAGCGGATCCAACCGGCCCCCTCCCTCCCGCCTCCGGTGAGCTCGCCGGAGCGGGCTGGGTGTGGGCCCTCCTCTCTAGTAGATAGTATCTAGTACGTAGTACCTAGTAGTTGCCTAGATGAGAGTCTCGCTCGGTGGAAAGTCCTGTCTTGGAGTGGCAGCCGCCGTCGTGGTTGCCATGGCCTTCCTCGGCTCCGACGCCGCCACCTCTGAGGTAAGTGGAAATAAAATAAAGCCGATCTCCTCCTATGCGGATCTCCTCTTCCCCATCTCCGACTCCACCTCCAATTGCCATCAGCGATATCTGCTTCCCTCCGATTCACAATCTTCGCCGCCCGCTTTCTTCTCTACACAGCAGCCTCCCGTCCTGATGCTCCCTTCTACAGCTAGGCGGCTCCCCTGCTGGTGTTGGTCCGACAGCTCCGCCTACACCTGGGATGCAGGTTCGAGCCTCTTCTTCAACCTCTGGTGACGGCTTCAACTGCATCCTTCGGTCGCCGGTGTGCTACCTCTTCGATGGCTCGACCGGTCCGCCTTTAACCGACGCTTTGCGCGGTCAGTCCATCCGGGTGCACACGTCCACGACGCCCCTGCGACCCACTGCCGGTGGATTCGTCTTCTCCATCGCCATCGTCGTCGCTGCCTGCCTTTTCAGATCCAGGGCTTTCTTGTAATTTGGTCTTCTACGGAGGACCTCTATGTAAACTGGCTGCTGTGATAATATATTATATGTGTTGTTGTGAAAAAACACGCACACTAACATGCGATAGTGCCCGTATATAATTTATTTCATGGAACAAATATATGCGACAGTGCCGCACGAATGCGATAGTGTCTCGATTCCACGCATGCACTCAGCCCTGAGGAAGTCGTACACCCGGATGATAATAGCTGGGCCTACTCGAATAAACCTACCCTTCTCCTTTCGTCGTTGCGCGCAGCACGGCAGCAGCGTCGCACATGCGACAGTGCCCCATTTTTTTTCCACGCCTCCACGCTATGCTCACAGCTGAGTCGCACTTCCACGCCATTATCCCCCGCGGGCGCCTCAGGCAAAGAGACCGAGGCCGCGCGCACGATATAAGCACCACCACCGCTCCACGCTTCTTGGTAGGTCGCCGCCTGTCAGCAGGAGCAGCAGTAGCAGCGGGGAGGAGGAGGCTACTAACTGGTCACCGGCCGTTCGCCGCGAGCTCCGGCGGCACCCCGCAGCCGGCCGGCGGCGCCTCTGGTCCGTCATCGGACGGCGGCAGCAGCATGTCTTCGGCCCCGCTGCTCGGCGCCGAGTCCGGTGGCGAGCCCGCCGCGCCGCCGCGGCCGTCGTCGTCGTCCTCGTGGGTGGAGCGCGTGGTGGACACGGCGGAGGCGCGCGCGCAGCTGGGGTTCGCGGTGCCGATGGTGCTGACGAGCATGGCGTACTACGGCATCCCGCTGGTGTCGGTGATGTTCTCGGGCCACCTCGGCGACGTCCACCTCGCCGGCGCCACGCTCGGCAACTCCTGGGCCACCGTCACCGGCTACGCCTTCGTGGTACGTACTGTATACGCGCGCGCGCGCGCGGCCCATCTTATTCTTATCTCACTCGCTCTCATGCCATGCACCATGTTACTCTCCGAATCCCCGATCCATATTCTCACCCGGACCCGCCGCTGCCGCTGCCGCCGCCCGCCACATGCCGACTAGTTCTTCGCCTCTTGCATGCCCTAGCACACGCGGTTCATAATGAGTTGACAACGTAACGACCTATCACGTCGAATCATAGCATCAGCCGTACGTTCCGAGTTCCTTTATCATGCATGTTGTTTTTGTTCGGTGATGGTAGCTTCTGGGATCGCCATTCGGACACGGTGACGGCAGCGGCAGGATGAGCAGCTGCACACGACCTGCGGGCTGGGTCTTGCGAGCATTGGGGGGTTTTTTTTTTTACTACTAGGAACTAGAGTCTGGAGGGGCCAAAGGCCTCGGTAAAATAGCAAAGGGGCTACACCGTACCTACACTCGCTCTATCGTCAACGCCCGTGCTCCACGGCCTGTTGACATCTGGCCATTTATTTATGCGCGGTTGAGAAATTCAAGGCAGGCGGAGCGTGCACCATTGATTGATCTGCTAGTGCTATCCCAAAATCCCATGCGTATCGTCCCATCCACGAATACAACAGGCCGTGCATGCCTGGCCAAGCAAGCTTGTCCTCCGCTGCCTGCCTGCCTGCCTTTCATCTCAGCCGCGGATACGTACAGTACGCGCGGTTGAATTGAGCCAACACCAACCAATAGCAGTAGTCGGCCGCACCCGCACCGCTCGCTCGCTGTCAAGTGTCATCAGCCACGAAACGATAGGCAACTCGAGGTTTGCGTGGCGCGCGTACCGCGGCACGGCACCGGCACGTACGTAAGCCGCCGCTTCGGTCGCGGTCGGTTTAGTTCCGTGGTCGCGGACAGGTGTCCGTCAGCCGCTTCACTCCTTTACTTCCTCCTCTCCTTCCATGTGCCCGTTTTCCTGGTGTTCTATGCGCTTGTGTATGCGGCCGGACCCAAGGATTGTGTGTCCCCACCGGCCACCGCACGGGCCCGTACGTGCTTGTCTCACCCCATACATGATACGTGTATACGGCGCCGCAGAGACCGTTGGCGGGGTTGGCTGCTAAGTGCTGGCTAGCGTGCGCGGGCACCGGGCAGCCCCGTTGGACTCGGACCGGATCAGACAGGACAGGAAGAACAAGCTAGCAATCGGTCGAGCACCGTTCAGGTCAGAGAGTCAGAGAGCCCAGAAACTGAGACTTGTTCTGTGTGGAGTGTGGAAAACAACGGAGTCCATTAGCCAGGTCGTCACGCACGTCGGATCGAGCTGCGTTTCGGGACTTTGGGCATAAAAAAAAAAAAAAAGAAAAAGAGCTGTGCCTTTTACAGTTTACGTGCACGAATCCTGAAACCAAACGCAGTCAAATGCGCATGCTCTGTACGCACGATTTTAAGACTGGTAGCTTGGTCGTGGTCAGCCTTTTTGGTGATGGCTTCGCACGGAATTCGGTTTGTGTGGTTATGTGAACGCTCAGGAGTCAATGCGGCTTTTTATATGCTATATATATATATATATATATATCTCCTTGAGAAACCATACACTGTTATTATACTATTATAATATGCAAAGGAATGTGATGTTTCCAAAGAAAAATAAATAAATGGAGTGAGGGTTGAACTGTTCTATGCTGTTCGGTACGCTTTGGCTCAAATAAAATGTCAATCAATCCACACTGGTAGCATGAAAATTTTAATTATTCGTACTCTAAGGTTAGTCTTGGCGAGGGTGTCATAAGAGTTTCTTGAGCATTAAATAACCTACCAACTTAGCAGATATGTCGGCATTGCATAATAAACGATGAAGAGCGAGGATCAAAGTTTTATGGGAGTAAAACGAGTTCCGTGGAGATGAAATTAGTCCACATTTCAAAACCGGAAATACTGTGGGTAGGGCATCCGTACGGACACGCATTGGTGGGCCTCGACACATGCCTGATCGGCCCAACGCTGCCATCCGCACGGACGCACGCATATCATGTTGCTCAAAATAAAATAAAAAAAATCCCCGCCACTTTCCTCTTGAATCGCCATTGCGCCCACATCCATTCTTGAACCCAGTCTCGCATGGCCGTCCTGCCCACACCGCCGCGGTGCGCTCCACGGAGACCGCGCTGCCAGTGGCTGAAACGCGACGGCGTGCTGCATTGCGCTCGAGCGCCGTCGCCTGCCTTCCTATCTCCCCACTGCCACTCACCACTGGTCACCGAGTTCTTCGAGACAACGCAACGTGGTCCACGGCAACTGCTCCCGCGCAACGTTCTTCAACGCGCCCAACCGGTTGACTGCCGCCATCCTCCCTCTCCACTGCACCAGAGCACCGCTTGTTGGCTACCGTATTTCCCCACCAGGTAGGCCATGGCCGCCAATGACATTGTGTTTCAAGTGTTTTCTGGTGTTTCAGAAGTATGTTTTCAAGTGTTTCATTTGGATATTGCCTATGTTGCAATGGATATATACGCATGTTGCAAGTATATGTTTCAAGTGTTTCAGACGTATGTTTCAAGTGTTTTATCTGGACGTTGCAGAAGTATATCTGGATGTCGTATAACATGCATGATGCAAGCGTATGTTTCAAGTGTTTTATGTGTTTCAAACGTATGTTGCAATTGTTTATCTGTATGTTGCAAAAGTAAATCTGGACGTTGCATGCGTTTGCAATGGCTTTCAAGTGTTTTCGGGTGTTTTTACAACTGTTTTAGACGTATGTTGCAAGTGTTTTAACTGTTTTGGACGTATGTTGCAAGTGTTTTATGTAGATATTACAAAAGTAGATCTGGTGTTGCACATGTTGCAATGGGACCACCTGCCGCAGCCGCCTGCTGCATTGCTGGGGCGCCGCTGAGCAGGTGCAGAATGTCCCCCCTGCATGCGCGTGGAAAGCGTACGAGGCACGAGCGGTCTCTGCGTGTTGTAGGTTGGGTGGGCGGTGCGTGCGGTCCGCGTTGGCAGACCCCGCGTGGGCGCACCGCGGTTTAGGCACGAGAAATGGGGTGCTGGTAGTGGTGTCCGGACGTCCGGGCGCAAGCAATCCCCTTTCAAACCGGAGAGACTTGGAAACTAGATGACCCCGCTAATAATGACCTGAGTCTAAGTGGAATTAGAATATCATTGTTGACTAACGACCATACTTATTGGATTATCATGTTGATAGCTTGTAGGTAAACGAGCGGTGGCTGCATTCTTGGTACCTAGATTTTCACGTACAGTTTGACTCGGTTATTACATAAATCTCTAAGTTGCATATTGTATATTCTAGAAGTAGTTGTTGCAACGAATAGATTCTCTTTGCAACTATAAGATCAAATGGCACAAATACTGTGTCATGAGATCTGGCACACACGCATACAACTCATACATGGTTCGATTCACTTACAACTATAAGATCAAATGGCTCAAATCACTTGGGTGTTTTCTCACTTATATAAATCAAATGGCTCACTCTGTAGTACATACTCTCTCAGCTTTAAATTATAGACCACTTTAGTTTTTTCTAAGTCAAACTTCTCTAGCCTAGTATAAACCAACATCTACAACATGAAATTAGTTTCAGTAAATCCAACCAACTATGTTTTCACAAGTGCCATTTCGTGTTTGGAGCTGTGAACGTGCACAAGACTGAACTAAAGCCTACCCATTTAGGGAGCTATGCTGTTTGATCAGCTAATAAGTGCCGTTGCAGACAGCTCGATGTTTCTTCTGAATCCTCACATCAGTTGTTGTGTTCCATGGAAAATATGGTCTCTCATCATGCATGCATGGCTTTGTTTCCAGACCGGCCTGAGCGGCGCCATGGAGACGCTGTGCGGTCAGGCGTACGGCGCGGGGCTGTACCGCATGCTGGGCCTCTACCTGCAGTCGTCGCTTATCATGTCGGCCGCCGTGTCCGCGGCCGTCTCCGCGCTGTGGTGGTTCACGGAACCGGTGCTGCTTTTCCTGCGGCAGGAGCCCGAGGTGTCCCGCGCCGCGGCCGCCTTCGTCCAGGCGCAGGTTCCCGGCCTCTTCGCCTTCGCCTTCGTGCAGTGCCTGCTGCGGTACCTGCAGACGCAGTCCGTCGTGCTCCCGCTCGTCGTCTGCTCCGTGGCCCCGTTCGCGCTCCACGTCGCGCTGACGCACCTCCTGGTGAACGTGCTCGGCCTGGGACTCGCGGGGGCGGGCGCCGCCGTCTCGGCCACGTTCTGGGTCTCCTGCCTCATGCTGCTCGCCTACGTGCTGCGCTCCGGGGCCTTCAGCGAGACGTGGAAGGGGTTCTCTTCCGAAGCCTTCAAGTACGTGCCGCCCACCGTGAAGCTCGCCACGCCGTCCGCCGTCATGGTCTGGTGAGTGTCAGCAGACTCAGGCACTCAGCCCTCAGGCGCGCGCGCTTCCGTTGTTCAGTTCGGCCGATGTGGCTGGTTGTGTCTAGAACTCACGCTTCATTTTGACTGACTGCAGCTTGGAGTACTGGGCATTCGAGCTCCTGGTCCTGATCGCCGGCTTGCTCCCCAATTCCACAGTGAGCACGTCGCTGATCGCCATGTGGTATGTCTGTCTCTTTCGATACTGAAGCTTCAGCACTGGCTACAACTACAACCAGTGTTAATTAGTGTTCTACTAGATGTTCAGATATGCGCAAATAAAATAAAATGGTTCATCTTCAAACAAACTGACTTCTTGGTCGGCGGAATTAATTTGTGCAGCACCAGCACGGAGGCGATCGCGTACATGATCACGTTCGGGTTCAGCGCCGCCGTGAGGTGCGTTACTTCCTGCTGCCATGTTTCTTCGCGCGCCATTCTTCTGATCGAGTGATTTCAGCTTCAGTTCTTGCTATCTCTCCTTTTAAGTTTATTAATCTGTCTTACGGTTGATGCCTGGATGAACCATCGCAAGCAGCACGCGGGTGTCGAACGAGATCGGCGCGGGGAACGTGGAGAGGGCCAAGAACGCGGTGTCGGTGACGATGAAGCTGTCGGTGTTCCTGGCCGTCACCTTCGTGCTGCTGCTGGCGTTCGGCCACGGCCTGTGGGCGCGCCTCTTCAGCGGGAGCGCGACGATCGTGTCGGCGTTCGGGGCCATCACGCCGCTCATGGTGATCTCCATCGTGCTGGACTCCGCGCAGGGCGTGCTGTCGGGCGTGGCGAGGGGCTGCGGGTGGCAGCACCTGGCGGCGGTGACCAACCTGGTGGCGTTCTACTTCGTCGGCATGCCGCTCGCCATCCTGTTCGCCTTCAAGCTCGACCTGCGCACCAGGGGCCTGTGGGCGGGGCTCATCTGCGGGCTCACGTGCCAGGCCTGCACGCTGCTGGTCATCACCGTCCGCACCAAGTGGTCCAACCTCGCTGAGGCCATGCAGGAGAAGAAGGCCAACTACGTCGCGTAGCAAACGTACTGTAACTACCAGTTTTTTTTAAGAGCACTGTACTACCGGTCAGAGACGGAACTAGCCATTTCGATTAGGGAGGACCGGACAAATATGATGACATGTCTAAATGTGATAAATATATACTTAAATGTATTTCTCAACAAATTTTTTTAATATTTTTACATATGTAGTTAGTATTTATAAAGAAAATTCATAAGATTATCATAAAAATAGCTAATTTGATGCATTGTTATGCTGTAAAATGAATATTTATAGGGGTATTAATATATTTTTGTGCTGTGTTGGGGGGGTGGGGGGGGCACGACCCCTGCTAGCCCCCCTGGTTCCGCCTCTGCTACCGATTACGAACGAATGACTAATGAGAAATTGTGCATCAAAAGCACGAGGTTTTTTATCGCGATAGCAATATTATCTAGATAGGGACGGAAGTCCTGTCAATTAATCGGCGGTGTGGGTGTCCACAGATATTACCGCAAAGTCTACTAAGCGCCCCGTCGCGCCGGCCCACGTGCGCACGCCCAACACCGTCCGCCCGCGTCGGAGAGGAAGGAGGAGGTCGCTGGCGTCAGAGATGAGGACCTCGTTGGCATTAGGGCGGCGGAAGATGGCGGTTGGACGGGGTTGGTGGCGGGGGCGTTGCGGCGGTGCTTGATGGTGAGCTGCTGTGGTTAGGGTGGGCGGGGTCGAGGAGCAGGGACAGGAGGTGCGTGGCGCGGCAAGGCGGCGGGAGCCGCCGGTCGCCTGTGGTGGGGGCAACACTACCGGAAACCGGCTCTTTGCCGAGTGCTTTTATGTTTGCGAGTGCATTTCCTCGGACACTCGGCAAAGAAGCTCTTTGCCGTGTGCTGAGCTAAAAACACTCGGAAAAAAAAACATTCGGCAAAGAGGGAGTTTGTCGAGTGTCAACAAAAAAACACTCGGCAAATATATGGTTTGCCGAGTGTCAAAAAAAACACTCGGCAAAAATATGGTTTGCCGAGTGTAAAAAAAATACTCGGCAAAGAAATAAAATCATTTTTTTGAAAAAGAAGAAGAATTAAAAAATGGGAAAAAAAACTTTGCCGAGTGCTCAGATCTAGAACACTCGGCAAAGAAATAAAATTTTTTTTCTGGAAAAGAAAAAGAAAAAAAAATTTAAAAAAAACATTGCCAAGTGCTCAGATCTAAAACACTCGGCAAACAAATAAATAATCTTTTTTCTGGAAACTTTGCCGAGTGTTCAGATCGGACACTCGGCAAACAAAAAATAATCTCGTCAATACCCCCCCCTCCCGTCCCCTCCCCAGCGCCCCTCCCCAGTCCCCACCCGAGCACCCCGCGCCCCCACTCCCTCTCTCGGTGGCGCCTCTCCTCCCTCCCTCGTCGCACAACCGGCGGATCCAGTTGGGGTGCTCACTAGCTGGGGCTGAGGCCTAGCGCGCCCGTCGCCGGCTGGGCTCCTCGTGTCCTGGCGGCTCCAAGGCAGCAACGCTCAATCGGATCTACGTGGTGGAGGTACGGCAAGGGCGGATCTGCAAGGAGGTGCGGCGAGGGCGGATCTGCGAGGAGGTCCAGTGGAGGTGGTGCATGGGGGTCGAGCGGGCTCCGTCGGTAGGCCCTAGAAGCGCTCGAGGGCCAGCCTCCTCCACCTCTGGCGACGCGCAGGCGAGATCCGGCGGTGGCTGGCCGCTCGACGCGTCCAGGTACAGATCCGGTGGCGGCGGGCCGCTCGGCTCGTCTAGGTGCGGATCCGGCAACGGTAGATCTAGGATGACGGCGGATCCAGGACAGAGGGCGGTGTTGGCTTCGGGTCGGCGGCCAACGTCGGCTTTGGTGAAGTTCCTCGTGTGCACGCCGGTGGTTGGAGCGGCCGGTGCTTGTTTTTTTTATTTTTTTGAAAAAAAATTTGCCGAGTGTTTTTTGGGCACTCGGCAATGTCTTTGCCGAGTGCCCGACGAAAAACACTCGGCAAAGTTAGTTTGTCGATGAATTTTTTGCCGAGTGCTCTTTACCGAGTGTTACACTCGGCGAAAGGGTTTGCCGAGTGTATTTGTGGCTTTACCGTGTGCCAGCTCCCGTTCCCTGTAGTGCAAGGAGTGGGGGTGGGGGGAGGGATGGGGGGGGTGGAGGCAAGGACGGGCGGTTAGGGAGGGTAGGGCGGAGCAGCGGGGCCGGGACGGGCGGTGGGTGGCACGGCCGGCGGCGAGGCTACCGCTGGTGGGGGCGGCGAGGGAGGAGACGGGGGTGGGGGAGGAATGGCATCACGAAGTTAAAGACGGGCATTGGTGGGAATAGTATAGGTATAAAATCTCATCAATGGTATAGGTATGGTATAACCAGCCTTAGGCGTGAGTGTCGGTATGCCTCTTCGATCGTACTGTTACTAACGATAGGCCTCAAAGGAACCATAACATTAATCCTCGGGAGACGCACTTCAAAGGAGATGAGCTTCATAAATAATAATAATCCCAAACATATGCGAGTCGTTTGGTTCCCCTGGCTGGTAACGTAAATGGTAAAGGAAAGAAATCACAGGGGCAGCGCCGGGAGGACCTCGATCCGACGCTCTTGGTTGGCGCGCGTGCGCTGCTAGGGGTAGCGGCGCGCGCCCGCTCGTACGGGTTGTGGCGCACTGGAATATCGTGAGCGTGTCCATCAAGTGCATGCGCGTACTACTTGGTCCATATTGATTGGTACGGTGCACATGCAGGACTAGCACATGGAGCAATTAATGGACCAGACATTTGAACTAACTAGCAGCACGGGCCATGCAGCAGGTCACCTCTTTTATTTATATATGTATCTATTTTTTTTCTCACGTGGTCATCAGTTAATTAGTTAAATTTAATTTTTAATAGTAGTTTGAAAACTTTATTTTTTCTATATTATAAATTTTGTATAGCTAATTTTAAAACTTATTACCATTAACTTTAAACTTTACTAACATGCTATAAACTTTGTACGTCTAACTCTAAAACTTTATAATTAAAAGTTTACACTTAAATTTTGAACTATCACATTGCAAACTTTGTACTGCTAGGTTCAAAACTTTATACTCAAAATTTATAAATAAACTTTGAACTATCATATTACAAACTTTATACGGCTAGGTTCAAAACTTTAAACTATCACATTACAAATATTGTACTGTTAGATTCAAAACTTTATACTCAGAATTTATAAACTTTGAACTATGACATTACAGAATTTGTATAGCTAGGTTCAAAACTTTAAATTATCACATTATAAACTTTGTACTGCTAAGTTCAAAACTTTAGGATTTGAAAACTCTACACCTAAATTCAGGAACTTTATACTAGCTCATTTGAAACTTCGCATTGAGATGCTATGAACTTTATACACCTAAAATGAAAACTCTGTAATTCGAAACTTTGCACTCCAATTTTTGAAACTTTGTATAACAACATTTGAAACTTTATACTCCTAAACGCAAAACTATATCATAACAAAAATTGTTTCGAAACATATCCAACATGGATCTACTTTTATAGATCTCATTATAATGAACGTAATTGTGCAAACGAAATTGAAAATAGATGCTTAACACGAAAGTTCACATTTCAAAGTTTTTACACCACATGCATATTCCGTCTGACACAGTCCTGACACACTCATGCACCTCCCTCCCCTCTCCCCGCGTACCCCTCCACGTTTGGTCCCACGAAAAAGGAAATGCTCCCATAATAGAAATTACTCTCTCCGTTCAGAAAAAAAACGCAACTCTAACTTTGAACCTGGACACGACGTGTGTTCAGATTCAGAGCTAGAATTGCGTTTTTTACGGAGGGAGTACGTACGTACCTGTTCCAAACCTAAAAGAAAACGGCGCTCGAAATGAAAAACACGGGTCGCTAGCGTGCTTGGCGCACGCGTGCTGAATAATGTTTGGGACCTCGATTCCTTGATTTGTTTGGTTGCGCACAGTAAAGGAAACATATCGCAAGAGCAGCGGCGTAATTTGATACAACTCGTGGAGCGGCGGTATTGGCCGTGAATGGATCGATATCCGATTGCGGGGTATCTCAAAACGGATCGGGATGAAACAAACAGTCGAATCGCAATCGGATCTCTACTGTAATCTAATTACATTACATTTTGCCAAACCAAACACCACCATGACCTTTCATATGGTAGACTTAATCATTGTCATTAATAATAGCCACTAGATCTCTTTTATGTTCTGGTATTATGAACACATAAAGTAACACATAAATTTGCGTCTATACTATCCACCTTTGGCTTAAATAAGTTGATTTAAATCCCCCCCCACACACAAAAAAAATAAATATAAGTTACCCACATGTCATTATGAAAGATAATTTGAAATAATCCCTAATTTTTTTTATCAAATTACTCACACATGGCATTATGGGAGGTAATGCAAAGTAAACCTTGAATTTGCATTTGAACTACCCAAATGTGCCATTATAAAAGATAATATAAAGGATCACTTTCAATTTATATCTACATTACCCACATATGCCATGACAAGAATAAACTAACATATATCTCAATCTAAGTGCAAATACTAATAGCATTTACAACAGATGAGAAAGTGTTTTAGGGGTGGAGTGCAAATGTGAATACAGAGATTAGGAGAACAAAAGAAGAATTGTTGACCAGTCTGGATAAGCTCTGATGAAAATATCTCAATGACTATATAAAACACATTGTATTTTCCCCCCCAAATTACACACTACAGTTAAATCATAGGATTGGCATATACTTGCCTTCTAGAGTCACCTACTCATCTCGTATAAGGAAATCAGGAAATCAAGAGAAAAACCTTCCTTTTAGATTTACGATTTTAGTGTGAGTACCACATAATTGATTTTCAGTAAAAGGAGCTTTTTTTAGAGGTGGTTAAGTTTCTAGCCGCCTCTATCTATAGTGGCATCTGAACTAAACCGCCTCTAAAAATGCATTTGTAGTTTTCAACTGCCTCTATAAAATCGATTTTTAGAGGCGGCTTAACCGCCTTTAAAAATAGTACATGC